AAGATTGGAAGAAATTTACAGAAGACTATTTACAGAAATATTGCAAAATTAATGAATGTTAGAATGATGTTGGAATGAAGCTAGGTGGTTTAAGCAGTAATGTGTATGTAAAAAAGGATTGATAACAGATGAAAATTTAAAGTTATAGTATATTAAGTTAAAGGATCATGAGAAAACAAAGAGGGAAAGAAATTGCTGACTTAACTAATTGAACTGGAATACAAAAAAGGGAGGTATGAGGAGGTCAGGGAAACAAGGATATGAATGTAAGCTATGGAAAGATTGATCCATTATTCTTTTTTTTTCTTTCTCTTTTTAAGTGTCTTTTATTCTTTTATTCTGTAGTTTTATTTTGAATTTTTTTTTATTTTTACTTTTTGTTTTTGTGTAATTCTTTTTTTTCTCTGAAATTTTAATAAATATCATTTAAAAAAAAAGAGAAATGCACATCTTCATTCTGCACACTTCACACACTTTAGCATTTAACAGAAGAAAACACATACACTCCCCCCCCCCCAATAAGCATACAACACTATAGACCAGATCTGAGAAGAAGCCAAATTGAACATATCACATTCATGGGGCTCAGAACACACTCATAAAAGATTTAATTCCACAAATACTAGGCCCCCCAAATCCATTCATACAAAGATGTGGACTTCAGTTCTAGGATAATTAAACAGTCTTTTATTGCAGTTATATCCCACCTTCTGTGGAACTCAAGGCAGCATATCTAGGTTTCTAGGCAGTTTCCCAGCTGGGTGCTTACCAAATCCAGCCCTGCTTAGCGCCCCCAACTGCTGCATCATGTGCCTTCAAACCATACCCAGTAACCTTTCTAATTAATCCAAAACTCCCAGATTAAAACCACGAACCTTTTGACATAGCTGGCATACAAAGAATAGGGGGCATCCAGAAGTACAGGTGGCTCAGTGCTCATATATTCTTCCTCCAAGGCATGGAGGGCAACAGTGATGGCAGTGTGTGCAGAAGGAACAGATCTTAGCACCCATCTTAGCTGTCCCTGACACAGTGCAACACATGTGGGAAATTACACACATGAAGAACATGTTACAGGTAGGTAGCCAGTCATGTTGGTCTGCTGTAATTGAAACAAAATAAAAAAAATTCCTTCCAGTAGCACCTTAGAGACCAACTAAGTTTATTTTTGGTATGAACTTTTGTGTGCATGTGTATCTGAAGAAGTGTGCATGCACACGAAAGCTCATACCAGTAACAAACTTAGTTGGTCTCTAAGGTGCTACTGGAAGGAATTTTTTTTATTTTGCAACTGCTTTGGATTACAACCGTTTTGGATTACAACCACGTCAAACCCAGAAATGTGTGTCCCTTTTTTTGTATTATAACCTCTTTTGGGGGGGGATTACAACCAATTCTGGGGGGGGGGGAGGCCCCACTGGTGAAAGTGCACCTTGGGTTACAACCAGTTTTGGTTTACAACTGGACCTCCAGAATGGATTATGGTTGTAAACCAAGGTACCGCTGTATTATGTGAATTGAGCAGAATTAGAACATGGGAACAGGTACTCACAAGCTATTAAATTAATCTTTTATTTGTTCTTCTGCAAATTCCCTACTCTGACACTACAAGTTTACTTTTAGATAGGCAGTTCTTTCAAGTGACAGCTGAACAAGAAGGATATGGCTTTTCCATATCTGCAAGATGTGGCATTTCTTCTAGGAAGTGCCAAAGTTATTCCTCCATTTGTGTCCTCCAATGGAACTACATGTACTTGGTGCAGTTCCATAGATGAGTTTTGTCACATGTCGCTCCTTGGCTATTGGAAAACATTTGGTTGTTGACAAGCTGAAGCACACTGCACACATGATTTCAAACAGCATTTGCTATTTACTTCTCAGTGGAAATTAATATTATCCATTACATTATCTCACTTTGTATTTTTTTAAAAATATGTATTTTTTTAAAAAAAAACACCTCACAGTGGTCCACAACATATTAAAACATCAAATAAAAAAAATCCAGAATAAAACATTATTGAATAAAATCAAATGTACAGTATACATTCAAAGCAACATAATTAAAAGGGAACTAAAATACTGATCTTAAACATTTCAAACACATTTAGCACACACACAAACACACAAAAATCTTAAACATTTCAAAATAAAACATTAATAAAGGAAGTCAAATATAAAATGCACATTTAAAACAGCACAATTAACAAGAGAATAACATCTTCATATAACCATACAACATGTCTGTTGCTGTTGCTACCAATCCTGCCAATGGTGGTTCATGGCAGGTGGTAGCTGTGACCTATGTTTGCACTAAGAGACAGTCAAGGTGATCCCTTGACTCTTCAGCACTCAGCTTTCTGTAGTCAATCAGGGCCCTGCCCTCCCAGGCCAGGTGGGAAAATATTGTTCATTGTTCTTTGAAACCTATCTGAGATTGTCTCTCCCTCCCATACACCATCCAATATATTCATACCAGCTTGGAAATAGTTCCTAGCTTACTCTTTGAACTTTATGTAGTTCCTCTGTGGAAGTTCTTGCTTGTCTTTGGTCCAGAGCAATGGGCTTTCAAGGTACCTGCAAAAGTCAAATTAATTTTAGATTGACTTATACTAGATGTGGCTAATCTGGAGTTGATGGAGTTTGGAGTCTGCAATCATCTCATCTGGAGAGCCACAGGCTAGCCATTCCTCTCTTATTTTATGCAGTAGGGAACTGGTCTCTATGCTTTTCACTTTTTAAGATCAGATCCAAAAAGCTCCTCCTGTTTTTTGCCCATTTCCCTCCTTTATAGCAGACCTTGTACCATATAACACATCTCTTACAATTTCCCAAGTTTCAAAATAGATTTGTCATGCACCATGTGTCTGCTGTTTGAGAAACTCAAGTCCAAAGCTCCCTTGGATGCATGGAACAAATTGTGCAGCTCTTTGGGTGCAAGACTGTGGATTCCTTTTAAACCATTTGTTTATTTAGAATTGTTCACTGTGTATTTGATCATGGAAATACACATGAAGACTTTTAGAAACTGTAAATCTAAGAAGAAAAATAAGGGCACTTGGGTTTTCAAACACAGATGAATATATTCTCATTTTAGACACCAAACAAATACTCATTGCGCTTGGTTTCATGTGCATAATAATTTTAGCAATATCTGTAACAAAGTGTTTAAGTATTTCAGTTGAGGGGACAGTAGACAGTGAGAGTAGACAGTAGACAGTGAGAGCATTGTGTAAAGAAATTAGAAATTAGTTTTTATTTTATTTTGTTTAAAAAAACCAGCTGTGACAATCTGATTGAAAGTAAGTTGATAAGAATTTAGGTCTTGCACATTGATTCCCCCAGTTAAACTGAAGTGGCTATCTTAAAAGTGCTTTTCACATTCTTTTGCTCTTTGATCCACCTAAACGTACACTGGCTTTTAAAATATTTGCTAGTTGCTTTTAGGAAAGGCAATAACAGACATAATCGCAGTAGTGACGCTAACCACTGCTATTAAGTGTGCTTTCATATACCATCACTTTGGCTCTGACACTTTTCCTTACTAACGATGTACTAGAATTTAAGCTGGATCATTTAAATAATGATAAAGCTGTCAGGACTCTGATGTGGTTCCTTTCTAGAGCATTTCACCTTCTATTACAGGTTTTATTGTACTTTATAGTGGGCATCTGTAAATGTGTGGATCAGGTTTGGTCCCTCATTGACACCCATTGCACGTACTGCACAGTTTTAACTGACTTACTTTGGAAGGATTCACAGTAGTTGCTAGGAAACCTTTCTGTGTTCTTTTCACTTCTTATATGGCATTAGCTTTTCAATTGATAAGGCTGTACCTTTAGGTACAGAGGGATTTAAGCAGAATCAAACAATGACAGTGGGACTGCAAAACTGATAAGCAAAAAGGGAGAGAAAGCACAAATCCTTGTTCTTTATACAGTAATACACAGGATTAGAGCAAAAATGGAAAAGACATAGCATATTTTCCTTGAATATTCCTTAAGGTGTTTTGTTTTGATTTTAAAGGTGGACAACAAAGCCTATCCTTATAGCAGAGTTTGTAAAATATTTTAAACTATGATAATTTAGTTACTATTCATTATTGCTTGCTCATTTCCTATATTGTTGGGTTGCTGTATGTCCTCGTTTTCCAGGACACATCCTCTTTTTCATGATGAGAGTCGTCATAGAGATCCATAGTTAAAAGTAGTTGGCAAATGCGTCCTCTTTTTTGCTCTTCAGAATATGGAAACCCTAGTATATTGTTTCGTTTCATTCTAATCATTGAAAAATAACATGAATAACTAGAAACTTACATAGATGATTTAAGGTAGCCTCACTCCAACACATAGGATTTGGATTAGAATGTTGGATGCACACATTTAACATGTGATAGCACCCTCTCTATTCAGTGTTCAATTACTAGGTAAGGAGTAAGTGCCAATAGTGCCAATGAACTTGTAGTCATATCTAGGACAGGTTCCATCAATCCAAATAAATGTGGATGAGAGGAAGTGAAAGATGCACCAGGCAGGACCCTCACCCCCTTCAAAGACTTTGAAGAGATGCATTTGCGCATTTGCACATGTGCACACATGCGCACACACACCTGCCATGAAATTGCTGTAATGGTTATGTTACTATAAATATAAAATGTTGTTGTTGTTTTTTAAAAATACTACAGCATTATCAGATGATAGGGAGTTCTTGACCAGTAATAGAAAATATAATGCAGAAGGCACATCAATATCAAGAGAACATCAGAATGCCTTGCAGTTAGCTTTACATTTAGCTTCGGATAAACATTATCAAGTGGTTCCTTAAGTAAACACATTTGGGAAAGTAATTGTGGAAAGGAGCATAGGAGGGTGTTTAACACCATGTTAAACTATCTTTAAAAAAAATATCCAACCCATTATTGTCAACCCTGATTTGTGGTAGCTCTCTAGGGTATCAGACAGAGGTCTTTAATATTGCCTACTTCCTGATGCTGGGAATTGAAATGGAGAAACTGGGGACTGAACCAGGGGCATCAAGTTTGCAGGACATTTACCCTACCACTGAGCTATACCTAAATAGCTTAGCTACTGGGCTTTCCTCAAGAAGAATTTGTGTGAAGGACTCAATTAAAATCTAAATTTAAAGGAACAGGATCATCTCCACAGATATAAGGTAGCTAACTCTTTCTCTTCATATCTTTGTTCATGGGTTGTTTGCAGAAGTCACCTTGGGCTTTTTTCTTTTGGGGGAGTGGGGAGGGGGGAAATGGGGGGGGGAGAGAAGTCACCTTGTGACTGCCCATTATGATGGCTCCAAACCAAAGCTTTGCATGCATGCCAAGCTGAAACCAGAGTTCCTGTGCAACTTCTTCAATCATTTCCACATGAAAAATGACAACAATGGCTCTGAGGGCCTTTGTGCAACCAGAAACAATATTGGGGAAGGGTAGTAGCTTATTGCAACAGCATCTGCTTTTCAGGCATAAAGTCCCAGGCTTGATCCCTAGTGTCTCCAAGTAGAGCTGGGAGAGGTGCTTGCCTGAACTCTGGGGAGTGCTGCCAATCAGTGTAGACAATGCTGAGTTTGATGGACGAATGATCTGACTTGGTATGAGGTGGCTTCCTATGTTCTTATATGCATATTGAAACTCCTGTTTGACAAGAGAACCACTGAATCAGGATAACTATTGGAAATGGCCCATACTGCTATTCACTATTACAGTCATAATCTATAAGTGCCTACTGTCATTCAGTGTGATGCAGAAATGTCATTTGTATTTCACTCCCCATTGGTACAAGAGATGTGCAGGCATGCCTGAGTTACTACGGTACAGTTATGCCCATCAGGACAGCACATTCTGCTGTAATATGGCACCTTTTTTCCTCCCCCTCAAACTATTGACTTTTTTTTTTTTTTTGATAGCCTGAAATGGCATTTTTAAAGGTTAAATGCAAAGGCCCTGCTGAATCTCTTCTAGCTACAGGCTTCCTATTATATTGCTGAGAAGATTTTGCAGTCTCCATGGCACACTGCTGTAGCTCTCCATCCATGATTGCAGAGCACTGAGCTATGCATGCCAAATCATTACCTCAAACAATAGCTAATACCACATTTTTAAAATGAATGAATCACCAAAAAGAAGGTGGGGGGACATTTACTTGTTCACAGAAGAGGAGAATGGGAATTGTAACAAATGCTATTTGTCCTGGACACTCAACAGCTATGTAACTGTTGTATAATACTGATGGCAGGTGTAGCTGCTTGTGTTCCTCATTCCCATCCCATTATCAGTTCACCCAAGTACCCCATTCATAGGACTGAAAACTTCAGGATGTAGATGAAATCCATGATCCACTTAAACCAGTTCATTTCCATTGAGGTTCATTGTAATAAATATTGACAGCACAATATTCACAGAGCATTCTGTAAATGATCCCCGTAGGAGCTTGCAATCAGTTGTCTGAATAGTTAATATAGCCATAAAAGTGTCTCCACTTAGCAAAAGGATCCCTAGTGGATAACTATTCTTTTGCACCATTAATCTCTTAGGCTTCTTATCAGGACCCACCTCCTCTTCAGATTCTACTTGATAGATATAGCAATTCCTATATGTACCCAATTTGTGACTCAGGCTGCAATCCCAAGAGGCCCACTTCTCCTCTCGTATTCTGAACCCACGGAGGGAACTTCTTAACAGGGCTAATGTTGATGGTACATTAGTGCAACCTACATCTTTTTTCATCAACCCAATGTAGAATCAGGCAGCTTAGATGAGATGGATGAGAAAGAGGATAGTGGTGTAGACACAATAAACAGCACTCAGTATCCCCAGCCTTGCCTAACAAACCGAACGAAATTGGCAGTACGTGTGGAATTGTTGCTCCATACAAATGACACAAAAACCAGACTAATTCAATTGGCAACAGCAACAAATAACCCTTTCCATTTAATATGTTGTGCTAAGGGCTTTCAATGTTTACCTAGTCTGCCAAATGGTGGGAGATTGCAACTCTTTAGGGACAGCTTGACAGCCCCTGTTTTTGTCAATGAGGTTACAGATAGATGGGCACCATCACTACTACCACCACCACTTGCCTGGTCTGGTTTGGGCACATGTTAGACAAGGAAAGTCAGGAGCTGGAGAACTGCAAATACAACCAGATGAGCAAGTTGACCCAAGAAAGGTCAAACTCAAAATGAGCCTTTCAAAGCCTCTGATCCCAAACCACCGATTTCCTCACGCTCTGATTTGAAGATGGACCCTCCTCCTACCTTCTGCAACCTCCCACCTGGTGTACCCGCTGTACTGGTGAGGTACTGTGAGAAGCATTGCTTTCCTAGGCACCCATAAGGCTACTGGATCTGAGAGGTTGTTCTGTGGGCTCCTGACTGTCACCCTCAGGTACAGTGTTCCCCTAATCCCCAGATGGAACGTTCTCTCACTCCTTTGTTATTAACTGCAACCTCAAACCCTGTGTTTTGATCATTCCTGTATTCTAGGGTCATAACACTACCAGGGTCTTTTTTTGAAGTCCCCCCCCCCGAAAAGCTGGAGATTAATTTCTTTCTTCCTAATGAGTGGGCCATTTTGATATTTATTGGGTTACAGCCTAGTGCATGAGACCTTTCCTAAAATCAATCCACACTTTAATCACTATCCCTAAGGGCTACTTCAGACAAGAGAAATTTCCTACATGGAAATGGAAAATGCCCAAATGTTTATTCTTGGATGTATGGAAAAATAAAGGAAATTTGCCTGGTGTGAAGCATTGCTCTGAAGTCAATCTGCTTCTTCTACTTGTTTTTTTAAACCACTTGGTGATGCCTCCAATAGTATAACAGATAAAGGAGATTATATTCATTTTCTTCTTCCTTTCTGTGACAGAACCAAGTGGATGACAGCTCTTTAAAGAGCTGGTAGCTTTTTATTTTTACAAATCGAACCCAAAGGTATTTGGTAAGAGAGAGGGAATTAAAATGGCTGCCATTTCAAAGCATCACTTCTAGCCAAGTAAATTTTATATTCGCAATAGCTGTGAATCCCCTGAAGATAATTGTATTCTCCCTCACTTGCTAACATGAAAAATGGTTCCCTTCTGCTTCCCCTCTAATGACTTCCATCCTTCTTTCAGGCACTCTGTATTGTCTGTTGCACCTTGGCTTCAAAATTTGAGCTCTGCACAGGTGTTGCCTACACAAAATGTTCTATATAGAATTGGGAGGGAGAAGGTAGATTGGGATCTACTTGTAGATTTCTGGGTAATTTTTTAGTACATCACCAGGGGTTTCTAACCCACTAATGCTAAACAGTAGTCTAAACAAAAAGGTTTAGCCCCATCCCCTTTAAAAATAGCATCCAGAGTTCAAGAAGTCTTGATGTTGAGTGAACTAGGAATTGATTTTTGTGTGTGTGTGTGTGTGGCAAGAGTGTGATCTCAGTTGTGCCACTAAAAAGAAATTCCTAGAATATGCACATGCTCAGTGGTACTAGATTTCTTAATTCATTTCTATGTCCCCAAACACCACTGTTCCAACCAGCTCTTGTTGGTGGACCTTGGGGTAATAGTAAAAATCAAAGTAGTTCTGCAAGCCTGAAGTTATTTAAAGTAATACTTGTACTCATATAAATCTGCTTGCACATTAAAATAAACAATGATGGTCCTCCACATTTGCCCACCATCTAGAACAGTGAAAATGACAGACATGAGGGGGGGTATTTTCTGTGGTAGCCCCACAGCTTTGGGGTTCATTGCCACTGACCACCAGAAAATGTCGGACCTTTAGAAAGGCTCTGCAGACTTACTAACAAATAGGTGTTTCAGGCAGCCTATACATGATTTCTATTTTGTTGTTGTACTGCTCCTGGCAGTGAAATAAGTTGGGGAATTGTGTTTTTGTCTTGGTGGGTTTTTATTGCTGCTGATTGTGTTGATGCTGTGGTGATTTTGTAGAAAATATATTGTATATATAATGCTGCTGAGTTTTGAGTTGGTATCATATAAGCGGCTGTGAGAAAGTTCTATTCAGAAAGGTTGTCCACAGCTATTTTAAAGAAAGACCAAACAGCTTCCTGTCAGGGGTTCCTGTCAGGGGTTCCTGTCAGGGGTTATAATAAAGATCTGCAGCAGTGTGTGTCACCCCTAAGCCAAGGGAAGAGGAAGAGAATAGCTTATGTTTATGAAAGGAATGTGGACTTCCAAGCCTTCCTATCTGCCCCCCTGGACTCTCCCGAGGCCACATCCCTTTCCCTGACATGCCTACCACCATCACTGGCTTTGCTTCTCACCTTCCTTGAGTGCTTTTGCCTGGCTGGAATATATACTTGAACTCTTGGCTGAAGCTGCTTAGCTAGAGGAGAGAGAGGTGTTTGAGAGTGTGTGTAGAAACTAACCTACGTTACAAAGGCAACATTGATATTCATTGCTCTTCCCACTTTGGCCCCACCCATCACTGACATATTGCCCAGAAGGGAATACACCCAGTGGGTTGAAAAAGGTAGCTCACCCAAGTTTAAGGGAACAATGCAAAGTTTATTTTACTGTACTTGATTAAATTTCTGAATCTTGGTAGACTCAGGTTCCCAAATGAGGATGCACATGAAAGCAGAGGTGATGTGCTAAAATGAAGTTTGTGGAGACAATGTGCTGAAAAATCTGTGGAGGAGAAAGCCACATCAGGGCAGGAATATTACCAGGAAGTTGAGTGAGGGGACAGGCACACAGCAGAAAAAGTAGGCTTCAGAGTTCAGAGTGACAGTTTTGCGGCTTCTTTCAGTATTACGCGGTGCAATAGAAGCCTTTGGAGCTATACAGCAGACTGAGGCAAATTAATTATCCCTCTGGGGTAAGAACATAGAATTGTAGAGTTGGAAGGGACCACGAGGGTTATCTTCTCCAACCCCTGCAATGCAGGAATCTTTTGCCTAACTTGGGGCTCAAACCCACAACCCTGAGATTAAGAGTTCCGTGCTCTACCGACTGAGCAAACATACGAAGAACCTGCTGGATCCTCGTCCAGCATCCTGTTCTCACAGTCGCTGACCGGATGCCCGAGGGAAATCCACAAGCACGATTCAGGCACAAGAGCACTCTCATTTCCTGTGGTTTCCAGCAACTGGTATTCAGAAACATTACTGCCTCTAACAGTGGAGGACTGAGCATAACCATCATGGCTAGAAGCCATTAATTTGTCCAATCCTCTTTTAAAGCCATCTAGGCTGGTGGCCATCACTGCGTCCTGTGGGAGCGAGTTTAATAGTTTAACTAACTTAGATCCATTTAATTGCCACCCGTCTTTTCTTTTCTATTTAAATACCCAAGTGTAGTGACTAGGATACAGATTATCGAGGCAGTGAACTATGCAAAAACACACAGAGCTGTTGCTTACCCAGCAATTCTAGATTTCAGGATTAAGCTTACAAACGAGAGCAGGGGTAGAGGGGAACAATAGAGAAATGTATGGAAGGTGTGAAAAGTAAGATGAATAATTCATTGTGTATTAGAATGTAGCTGTTTTTCTTCATTCGGATATATGGGAACACAAAATATTGCAGCCTGGATAAATATAGAAAGCTAGTCGCAACAGACAAGTGAAAACTACAAAAAACTTTCACATATATCAACAATTAGCTAGGTATTGGAAGTTGCAAATGACTACATAGAATTAAGGAGATAAGAGTGGACTTTTATTAGAAGCTTGTGTATCAAAAGCATATTCATACCCTCCTATGTTTATTGCTACTAAATGTGCTTTTAAAAATGACCTTCACAGCTCACCTTTAGTGAGTATTGGTGTACTGTAGTGGTGGCTGCATTTCCTATGCAACAGAAACTAATCAGCTGGAATATTTTTTTCCTGTGTAAGAATGGTCTTTTTTTCCATCTAAGAGACACAACGTTCTCAGAGAAACAGTTAACAGGAAGCTTTGTCACCAAACTAAACACGCTGTAAAAAATCTGGCTAGCGTGGTAGGATCTCACTGAGAAATGTATGTCTGCGATGATGCCAGTGGTACTTAGCACAGCTGCTCATGGATGTGTGCCTAATTGAATGTTGTTTGTCTCAAGATTTTCCAGTGGACCATTTCAAGTGGCAGCCTGCAGCTGATGTGCCATATAACCCGCATTAACATCTCACCTGCAAAATACATAATTACACACAAATCTGCTGATTAGATGCAAAATGTGAATAAATGCCAGTGGTTGCGTTTCAAGAACCATCCATGCCTGTCCACAGCAGAAATACTGAATGCATTGTTATCCAGCAGTACACTCACATTCTGCCTGCCCAAATGGAGATTCTTGTTAGTGAGCCCAAGCATAAAAGAACTGAAATTAAGAATGCGTAGTCCTCTAAAGTTAGTTAGCTTCATTTGATTTTGATCTAACATATTGTGTTTTACTAACAGTTATGTCATGTGCCTGGTTTTTTTTTATCCATTTTCTTTTTCTATGTTCTCAGCATTATTGCCTATGTTTAACTCACTGTTAAACAATAGGTTTGGGAACAATCCTGCCTTTCTTTATGCATGGGTAGATCCTATTGACTTAAATTGGACTTCTGCATGCCTTACTAGGCACAGGATAACTGGCTTTGCATTAATTTTCAAAATAGTTGATGAGACCATCTTTCCCCCTTTTAACTGTTGAACTTCATTGAAAGGCTTCAATGAAACATAAAGTCAAACTCTTAACTTTTTGTACAACCAAAGTTTCGTCTTCTCTGATTATGCTTAAATTGGTATTTATTTTAAATTAAAATGTCTACAGACACCCTTATCTCAGTCTACATCCAAAGAATGAATCCTTGTAAATTGAAATGGGCTCTAGGGCACCTTTTGTTTCCTGTCATAGCTGAGGACAGTGCACAGAGAATCACAGAATTGCAGTGTTGGAAGGTGACCACAAGGCTCATCTAGTCCAACGCCCTGCAGTGCAAGACTTTTTGCGCAACATGGGGCTCGAACCAACAAGCCTGAGATTGAGTCTCGTGCTCTACCGACTGATCTATCCACAGAGCAATGCTGTCATTGTGTGCACTAAATGTGCATATATGGGTTGGCGGAATGGTGTCCACTGGCCTTGCCCCCTCTCTATGTGTATCTAGTATTCCTTCTAAAAGTTTGCATGATTGGCTGCCCAACTGGCATATGTAGGCTCTCTGGGGAGTTAAATTGAGTCTGCAAAGGAAAAGAGGTGGAAGACAATATTTTTGGTGGATTTGAACATTCAACATGCTCAAAGATGCATCTGTTGGCTGGGGAATGAATTCAAGCCAAAATTACACAAAACTCGGTCCCTACTCCTGCCAACCTAGCACACTGAAAGCACATCAAAGTGCAAGTAGATAAATAGGTACCGCTCTGGTGGGAAGGTAAACAGCGTTTCCATGCGCTGCTCTAGTTCGCCAGAAGCAGCTTAGTCATGCTGGCCACATGACCCGGAAGCTGTACACCGGCTCCCTCGGCCAATAAAGCGAGATGAGCGCTGCAACCCCAGAGTCATCCCCAACTGGACCTAATAGTCAGGGGTCCCTTTACCTTTACCTTTTAGTCTTATTGCTAAAGGGTGGCTTTTGCCTTGGCAAGGAGTGGGGCAAGGGGGAACCACTCAGACCTGTGCCTTGAAAGTATTGGTCAAGTCAAAAACTGCTTGGACCCATGCTTTTGAGGCACAGCTCATGGAAGTGTGGATGAGCCCTTTCTTTGTGCCAATACCAATATGTGTAACCAGTCCTCCCCCCTCTGAAAAAATATGGAATTAAAATAATTATATTGTCACTGGAATGGAAGATATACTTGTTGCCTAATGGTTATGTAGATTTCCCCCTTGTTGTTATGTCTTCAGGTGATCTAACATGATGGATGTTATGACAGGTTTCCCACAGTTAACAGGCATGAAGAGGCCTGCTGACTAGCTTGCCAGTTAACCGCTAACCACCCTAAGGCATCCAGTGTTCTTTTAAAAAATAAAAGAAGTTTGAGTTTCAAAGAAACATTTGTGTATTTAATCTCATCAAACCCTCATCCACAATAAGACAAAGCTCCCTCCATTTCTTGCTGTGCTTGTTCTTAAACAACCTTGCTAATTTTGCTATAAACTACCCTTACAAAAGTGAAGGCACGGCAATGAGAGTTTTACTGATACAGCTTTTTAATCTCTCAATACACCAGGCTTTTACTAGATTGCTCAGGTATTTCATATCTCAAGAGCCTGCATAAATTGCATGTGATAGTCTTTGTATAATCAAGGTCACCAAATGTCAAAAGGCAGCTGATAATTGCCAGTGTGTTGTGCTAGTATAAATACCAATGAACTGAGATGAGCTCCTTGTCAAGTGTAGTGTTTTGCCATGCGGAGCTAAAATCTATCATCCTGAAGCTGTTGCAGTCACCCTGAAAACTTCATGTGATGGACAATGGATTAAGCATAAAAACACCATTGGGTCACTTTCCCACAACTCAGCAGTGACTATGCTGGATGTAATTACAGATGGTAAAGAAGATCGAGTTGACTGGGATCCTTACAGACTTAGAGTTCATCTGGAGTGCTGTGTCCAGTTTGGGGCAAAACACACTTTAAAAAGGTTGTAGACAAACTGGAAGGGATAATACAGAAAGTATAGAAAAAGGCCAGTGGAATAGAAAGCAAGTACTAAAGTAATAAAAGAAAGATTGAAGGAACTGGGTGTGTTTTACTAGGAGACAATAAGACTAAAGGGAGAACATAGCAAGCACAAAACTCAAAATACCTAACGTGTTGCCATGTCAAGGAGGGCAAAGACTAGTTTTAAGCTGTCCCAGAGGACTATAGTAGATCTAATGGGAATAACTTTCAAGAGGGTAGATTTAGGGAGGAAATTATTGTAGCTCACATTGCAGCAAATGTTCTCCACCTCAGTGCAAATAGCAAGCATGGGAAGAGAACAGATTCAAGCTAGGATAACAAGGTTAAAGCAGCCTACCATACACACACCCTGCATGCCCAGGTTGGTCACCCACACCTGCAATTTGCTTTTAAGAAGCAGATTGTGCAAATGATTATAGTGATGGGTGTATTTTCTAATCTGATCCATACTTAGAACTCATGCTCTGCCATATAGACACAAAATGAAACAAAAGGGCAAGGCAGAAATATTTTTGTAGCAGGAAAACATTTTCCCAGTGATCAGGACTATCTCTTGTGGATATTTATTTATTTATTTATTTATGGTCTTCCACACACATCTCAGGGTAATGTATATAATACAACAACAACAACAGTAATTTAAAACAATAGAGGAAATAACAATACAGATATGTAAGTGGCTTTCTTAATTCTTCTTCTGTTGTTATGAATTGGACTGCTCAACATTTTCCGACCATGCAACCCATCAATTAAGGAATGCTGGCAAATCCCTGTAGGATATCAGAAACAAAAATCTGCCTCTGGCCCCTGGTCATAATTGTTTTTAGAACAAAAAACAAATCAAAACTGGGCTGGAGATCCAGCCACTAAGTACAGTGTGCCAAAAATCAAACATGCCCAAACAATTATCAAAGCATCAAGGTGTGATCAAGGCCCTCCTGGCAACATCGTGAAGTGAACTTGCATTTCTAATTCAGAGAGATTGGAAAACTCTACAAAGAAAAGTATACCTAGAATTGTTACACAGTGGAAATCATGGAAGCCAAAACATTCCGTCCAAGTTATAATGGATGTAGCCCTACATTAGCTAATTTTACCTCCATCTGTTCTATCATGATGTCTCAGAACAAGCAAAGTTTTAAATTAGATGTACAAAGAACGAACTGGAACCAAGGCTTACTGAGCACCACCCACTAAGTTTGTTCCTGTGCCTTGTATTGCCTGTTCCCTTCTGCATCTCTGTGGCAACATGTTTGCTTATTTTTGTTATTATTGTTATTAGATTTCCCCTCCCTACCCTTCTGCATGAAGTTCCAGGGTGGGTTAAAACCATTTAAAAATACATTAAAAACAATTAAAACAG